AGCGAAACCTTAAACATACGCAAAAGATTCTGAGGAGACTAAGGAAACTAATATTTATTCCTTATGTTTGCTTTCCACTATTTAATTGAAATCAAAATCTCCGCTAAGAACTGCAGCTCCCCCGTAAAAGTATTCAATTCCTATTGAATCCACTGTTGTCCACTCATTATTATGTATGTTAAACCGTTCCACACTTGTAATAAACTATGAGCTGTGTTTACCGCCCAACACATAAACGTCTTTTGCGGCTATCACGGCCGAGAAACTATATCTGTTGGACAACATGAGGGGCATAGGTTCTCATTTATTCATTCGTATGTCGAACAGTTTGCAGTCGTCTCTTCTAATGGCAAACAATGTTCGATCATATGAGACAAGTTCGTACGGATCAGGTATTCCCGGCATCTCATTTAAATTATACCATCTTCCATCTCTCGAGTCAAAGCGACGAAGTGCATTATTGCGATTAGTTACTTGAGCTAGACTGTATATACTATTTTCTGCCACTGTTGCCCGATTGAGTCCTTCGTTTGTTCCAGAGATGGCTTGACACAAATGCCATTTATTTGTTGAAGGGTTATAGCTCTCTACTGTGAATGTTTGATAACCACCAACAACATAAATTAGATCATTGTACGTGCAAATGCCAAAACCATGTCGAGCATTATTCATTGGTGCTATGTAACTCCATCGCCTACTGGCAGGATCATAACATTCAGCCGTCTTCAAACAAACACCACTATTCAATCCACCACCTGAATAAACTACGCTGGTTTAGGAGGCAACAGAATTACCGCATCTATCCCCATTAATACTTGAGATAAAAAATAGTTTATTTTTGGAAATATCGTAGACTTGGCATTCTTTTGTCCTTCTTTCATCGTCCCGTATGGCACCGACAAGAAACACATGAAAGCTTTCGTTGCGATGTTTTGATTCTGTTTGGCATTTTTCATGCAGTTGAATAACTGTCGTCAATTGATAAATTAAAGCCTCCATTACAATTTTATTGCATTTGTTATCTTCTATAAGCAGAGATTCAGCAACAATGTGGTTTGTCAAGAACTCTGTGCTGACAAGAGGTAAACGTATCTGACTCATGAGCGAGAGGAACTTTTCTCTTCTCTAGGTCGTATTTGACCCAATTTATTGCGGCCTTATAAGCACTATCTTCAGGTTTGACAATGTATTGCACGTCCCTTATCAATTCCTTGATCTGAACATAAAGTTTTAAAAAGTTACGAGTCAATCTGATGTGAAATCAAAAACAAAATAAAGTTAAGTTCATAACATGATCGTAAAAGTTCCTCCCTAGCATATTAATTGAAGAGTAGAATGCGGTCCAGGAATTTAAGCGTTCTTCTCAAAAGTATTCTTTAGGCCGGAAATATGTCGTCGAGTAATGATGGGTTGCGTTATTTTATCGACTGAAGTCTGAGGAAAACGTTTTGAAATCCATGATTTTTTAGAAATTTTTGTATTCATTCGATTACCTCCTAATTGATTTTTAGTTAACCATTAAACATTTCCCTTAAGCAAAAAAAAAAAAGGAAGGGGCTTTGCTTACAATAAGACTCCGTACTGTTTTCTTCGTTAATTCTTAAATGCACTGTCAAGGCTCAGTACAATATGTTTTTATATTTTTTGTAATACTTAACGAACGAGCGAATTTCTAAAACAATGATCAGTAGGTCGACAGATTTTTAAGAAATTAAGTGCTTTATTTCCAGAGCGAGGAAAGATGCATAATTAATATCTTTTTATTGGATTTGATGAAAACTTACAGTAGTAATAAGTAGTGTGTGAACAGATATGTCCATGCAAAAGGATACTGAGGTGGAAACTTTAATTAAGGCCTCACCTAACAGATTTTCTAAAATATCACGACATGCCGAACATTTCCCTTTTTCAGAATATTTATAATGTGGCAAGTATGGCGGCATTCGTTCGTTAAGGGTTACATTCACATATATCTCTACGCTTTCTATACAAAAACATTACACATATAATAAGCAAATTTCAAGAAGTACTTAAAGAGCTTTTGTAACACTATCTTTTGTATGCCCTATACCAATTGCGGTACAGAATATATGAAGTTAGTGCGGACGTATGTAACACGCAGAAGAGTTTAAGATAAACAAAACTTTTATTATACCGATCGATTCAGAAACATAATCTGAATTGATCTAAGCCTGTTGGTCTCTCTGTCCGTCTGAAGTAAATTTGTGTCGCGAGTTGTTCGCCAACGATGCAACCATCTATTGCATTCAAGAAGGATTGAAACCGATGCACACTTTGAAAGCAAAGTACTTGCATGCTGAATCTGCGATAGCTGCACAGAGCAACTATTTCAAGCACATTTAGACATGGTCGTAAGGGAGCCGGCAATTGATCCAAGAGGGTCGAATCGTGATAACAAAACAAATTAAAGCGCTGTAAATGTAAATTGCTGAAAGAAAAATGTGAATAAATTTCCTAATTTTGAAAATAGGTAACCTAAGATCACAATTCAGCGTTACGAACTTATCCAAAAAGAAGTTGAAAAAATAATGTAAAATTTATAAAAACCGGATTGTAAACAGATTACTTAATTTTAAAATTAGTTGACCTAAAAATCACAATTCAGCGGGATAAACTTATTGCAAAAAGAAGTTGCGTAAACAACGTAAAATTCTTAAAAGGCGGATTGTAAACAAATTTCCTAGTTTTGAAAATAGCTAACCTAAAAATCACCATTCAACGGCACACACAACGTAAAATTCTTAAAAGGCGGATTTATGTTACAACACTATAACAATAATAATCCATAGCAATCAAAGGAAAACTTTAAGAAAAATGAATCGATGTTAAAATGGAAATAAAGTCAACATGTGCACTAATAAAAAAAATTTTATGTGCATAGCAACAATCAATACAAATTAAAATAGAATCAAATAATGACATATTTCGCGAATATTACAAGTCATATATGATACATAGATGATAGAGATGATACAATAGGAATGATTAGATGATCAGATCCATCAATGTCCGCTTCTCTAGGCAATCTATCTTGGTTATGCTAAGTCAGTGTAAATATAATTATGAACTGTTTAATCCGCTCAGAATTATTTGCAAGAACCTAAGTGACGTCTATCACTTATTCTCATTATCAAATTCTTTTAAGTCCATTAAAGCAACATTGCTTAATACGCGCGATTTACCGATGTCGTACTTAAACTAGTTTTTAACTTTAAAAAGTCGTTACGATTCGAAAATGAATTATTGTTAATTATTATCGGTTGCCAGGCTTATGCATGTTTGCGATGGCGGTAAAAATAATATTTTTGACTGTTTCTTACTTAAGGTTAACAAAAAAATTTTTAATTATTTTCCCATTATCACTCAAAAAAAAGGAAGAATATTCTCGTTTTATAATTTCTACTGATCTCTCATTATTTCCTTTGTCTCTTTCACTAAAATTGCGTTGCGAGTTAAGTTCTTTTATACTCGTTGAAGACTAAAGAAGTAAAATTATTGAAAATTTATTACAGCCGACTGTACTTAGCCCACGTTTTAGCAAAGGCAAAAATGTTGGCTATCTTCACACTTGGTTCCCGCCTCTACTAAGGCAATTGATAATTGACCGCCAGAAAATGATTAGAGAAACTAAAAAAAATAGAAATTATACGAACAAACGAACTAAACATTTCTTTAGATATTAATATTTTTAATCATATTTAAATAAGCGAAACCTTAAACATACGCAAAAGATTCTGAGGAGACTAAGGAAA